CCATCTGTCCAGCCAAGATTTTAGAATGTTATCTAAATAGAACTTATGATTTAATAAAACTTGACAACCTCTTCATTGGTCTCAGTCGACCCTACATACCATTTGGCAAGCAAACTATTAGCCATTGCATAAAACTGACGGTCGACAAATGTGGGCTAGATGTGTTATTGTTTGCACACACATAGTATCAGTATATAAACATAATCCTGCAGACTGAAGTACCAATTCAAATAAATATATAGAGCTATAAATAATAATAAAATCACAGTTGAACGTATCGTAAACCAATTATATAATAGTTTGGTTTTTATTTTGTTATATACATAAGTATATCTTAAGCTATTAAATATACGTAAGCTTTTAAAATAATAATAATTATCATCAGTTATTTTGAAACTTTGTGATCGTTTCTTGTTTTATTTAATCTGCAATTCAATCAATTATGCACACAGAATGTTATAATAGTTTTCTCATTGAATATTTTTCTGGTCGAACTCTCAAAGTCTACATGTTGTTATATATATTTAGTACTAATCTCGAGGACGAAGCGCAAAGTATAATTAATGATTAAACGAACTTACCTAAGTGAAGTTCTATCATAATTATACGAAGCGCTTCGTCGAAGAGATTAGTATATATTCCCGCCCTACCCAATGTAATTTTTGTGCCCATCATAATAACACCAAAAAATATTTCAATGAGCAAATTAAATCTTCAAAGGATATTTCACTCTAAACTTAATGAACGGAAACTTAAATGAAGTAACCAAGTTAACAATCCACCTACAAAAAAAAAAAAAAAGGAAGTACCCTCTCAACAATATTGCAAAAGCGGTGTCACTTGTGCGTTACTACATGTTGTTATATATATTTAGTACTAATCTCTTCGGACGAAGCGCTTCGTATAATTATGATAGAACTTCACTTAGGTAAGTTCGTTTAATCATTAATTATACCTTCTATCCACTTTTTTCCTGTATAGTCTCGCGCCCATACGGTTTCCCCTACATTAATAGTTTTTGGTGTACCGCATGCGTTATGTACTTGTCTTTGTTGCGATTCCTGTACTTTTATTTCTACCTGCCTATCTTCTCGTAGTAAATCCAGCCTACACCTTAACTTTCTACGCTGTAATAGCATCGCAGGCGGTGCTCCAGTGGTACTGTGTTCTACATTTCTATACATCAACAGATAAGTTTGTAATGATGCATCTAAATCACTACCATCTCTTAATGATTTCTTAATCGCGCGTTTGCAGTTTGACCGCGTTCTCCGCTGCTCCGTTCGACGAGGGGTGATACACAGGGGTAGACGTCGTTTTAATACCATTGTTTGCCATAAATTCAGCATACTCTCGACTACTGAATGGCGGTCCATTATCAGAAACAACTTCCTTGGGAAGCCCAAACCGTGCAAAAGTCTCACGGAGTACTTTTATAACAGCTGTTCCCGTGGTTCTCGCCATTAGGAATATTTCTAGCCATTTACTTGTAGCATCTATAATTACTAAATACATTTTACCTTGAAATGGTTCTAGGAAATCAATGTGCAAACGCGACCACGGCTCTTCAATATAGGGCCACGGTTGCGGTGGTACATGCGGTGGTGCAGTGCCCTCTACCGCACACGTGATGCACTGCTTACATGTGTTCTCGATGTCTAAATCTATACCTGGCCACCAAATAATACCGCGTGCTATACTCTTCATTTTAACAATTCCTAAATGTCCAACATGTAGTTCTTTCAGTAACTCCGCTCTCAATGCATTAGGTATCACCAACCGATAGCCCCAGATTATACAACCCCTATCGAGATACAACTCATTTCTGCGAATAAAAAAAAGGCTTTAGGGTTTCATCTTTACAATCGTTCGGCCACCCTGATTGTAAAAAATATACTATTTTCATTAATATATCATCCTTCATAATACTATTTTGTACTACTTTCCTTGTTATTGGTAAAAAAATTTGAATAAAATTTAAATAAGTTATTTCTTTGCCCTTTAATTTTTCTTTTCCTATCGGTAACCGAGATAATGCATCTGCTGCATTGTTCTGGCTTCGTACGTATTCTATGGCATAGTCATATCCCGCTAAAATTACAGCGCAGCGCTGCAACCTGCTAGCTGCCATTATCGGTATACCAGTTTTATCTCCAAAAACCGATAGAAGCGGTTTATGATCTGTTCGGAGCGTAAATCTCCGGCCATACAGATATTGATGAAACTTACGGACCCCGTAAATTATAGCCAGGGCTTCTCTATCAATCTGAGAATAGGATCTCTCGGCTGCATTGAGAACTCGGGATGCGTACGCTATTGGCCTCTCCTGTCCTCCAGTCATAATATGTGAAATAACGGCTCCTATTCCCGTACTGCTGGCGTCCGTCGTCAGCACTATAGGCAGCTCCGACGAATAATGGGCTAATACTGCACCAGAAATTAACATACATTTTATTTTATTAAATGCATTCATACATTGCACGTTCCACTCATACTTAACTTCTTTTTTAATAAGTGATATAGTGGGCTCAATACTGTACTTAGATTAGGCACAAATTTAGCATAATACATTACAAATCCCAAAAAGGAACGTAACTCCGTAATATTGTTTGGTATAGGGGCTTTTCTTATTGCTTCGATCTTCTCAGGACAGGTATGAACCCCTTTTTTACTTATAACAAACCCTAGATATGTTACCGAGTCTGCAAAAAATGTGCATTTCTCTTTTTTTATCTTTAACCCATATTTTTGTAACCTTTCAAAAACTTTATGTAATGTCTGTATGTGTGACTCGTCATCCCTGCCTGTAATAATTATGTCGTCTAAAAACACCCCTACTGTCGGTATATCTGCAAAAAGTTGCTCCAGTTTTCTTTGAAAAATTCCAGGACTCGAGCTAACCCGTAGATCAGTCTCTTGTACATAAATAATCCCTTATGTGTATTAATTACCGTGTATTTTTTTGATTCGTCTAGCTCAAACTGTGCGTACGCTTGCGATAAATCTAATTTTGTAAATTTATCCCCGCCGTGCAATTTTGTAAGTAAGTATTCTACCTTCGGAAGGGGATAGTGGTCCACCTCGAGACATTTATTGAGAGTGATCTTAAAATCTGCGCATACCCGTATGGTGCCGTCCTTCTTCATTACCGGTACGATGGGCGTGGCCCAGTCGGAGGTAGTGACCGGCGTGATGATTCCGTCTCTCAGCATCTGGTCGAGCGCGCGGCCCACGGGCTCGCGCAGCCCGTACGCGAGCGGCCGCGCCCGCATGAACACCGGCCGCGCGTCCGGACGCAGCCGGAACCCTACCGTGCCTCCGGTGAACCGTCCCAACTTGTCCTCGAACACCTCACAGTATCTGGAACTGAATTCCTTAATATTAAAGGTATCCGTCGAAGTACCTATTCTGTAACATGACAATGCAGACAATAATTTATCTATTTCTAATTTTTCTAACCAATTTCTACCCAATAGGCAAGTTTTCCCCTTATCTATTATGTACAAATCAAATTTTTTGCATAACTCGTTGTACTTTACTACCGGTGTAATTTTGCCCAATGGGGATACAGTTTCCCCTGTATAGTACCTTAACACTAAATTACAAGGTTTTAACTTACAATATTTGAAATAATTATTGTAACAATCCACATTTATACATGATATAGAACTCCCAGTATCTATTTCCATTTTTAACCATACACCTTCAATATTTATATTGACGGTGTATGGTCCAAAGCATTTCAAATTTGTGTGTAATGAATAATTATTTACCTCGTCACTATTATCACTGTCCGATTTATCCAAATACCGCACCTGTTCTTCTTGTAAATTGTACAGCGATTTATGACTCTGTATTCTTGGGCACATCTTCTTTAAGTGTCCACTTCGATTACACACTCTACAAACATAAGCCTTAAATTTACATGGAACAGACTCATGTTCCCCCCCACATACGTTACATCTATTTTTCCAGCTACAATTCTGGTTTCTGTTCGATCTGGTGTGTGTATATTGTCTCCTATCAGCTCCGCTCGTGCCCCCGTCCGCTCCGCTCGTGCCGCTTGGACCGTGTTCGTATTGCTGCGTAGCTCGCCGGCGATAATGGTCGGCGGCCGACCGGCCGCGTGCTCTGCCCCCGCCGCCCGCGCCGCCCGCGCCCGCCGCATGTCCGATGTGATGCAGCTCGGCCGCCGCTGAGCGCGCCGCTCCTTGCCTACTGTCACTTGGTCTGCTCCTGGTACAGTCTTCTATCAAGGCCGCGTTCGTCTCGGCTGCCTCCATCGACACAGCAATCTTATACTCGAACGTGATCTTATACTTGCTCGCTCGAACGTGATCGTGTCATCCTCAGTAAATAACCTCTGCCTGATATCATCATTGATTAATCCGCACACGAATTGATCTCTTAGATTTTCTCTTAATATATCCGCATTGTTTGCTATTTTTTTTTAATTCCGCCACAAAATTAGATATGGTTTCTTCTGACTTTTGTATACGCTGCCTAAATTTAAATCTTTCCGCTAACATACTGGGTTTAGGATTCAAGTGTCCCTTCATGAGTGTCACTAAGTCAGCATAACTTTTATTTGCGGGTTTCGTCGGCGTACACAGATTAACCCTAAGGTCATTACGCATCACCTCCGATAACTGTTATTAAGGTAGCCACTTGTAGTTCCGTTTTCACAGCATTCGCCACAAAATATTGTTCTAGCCGGTCGACATACGTTTCCCAGTTGTCTTTGTCAAGGTCGAAAGGTTCGATTTTGCCCACAAACATTTTATACTTTTACTATAAATCACTATTACGACCTTTAAGTACACGCTCATAAGCACTTTATTCCTCGTCGCCACTGTAAAATATGTACTGATATCAGTTATTTGAGGAGCACAATAGAATACGTCCGTTCACTATATAACATTTAATTCGAGAGAGTGCAACCTACCCTACAACAATTGTATTTGTGATTCACTTATTTACCTACATATATTACAATTATCATGGGTGATTTTAACACCGATTTGCTTCAAGACACCTATAGATCTCGCAAACTACGCGACATTACACGATCGGTAGGTCTTCAAGTGTTATCCCTTAGTCCTACACATACCAACCGGGATTGTCCGGACACTTGGCTTGACCATATTTATGTCTCCTCACCTGATTGTGTTTTAAAACATGGTCAGTTTCCTGCACCTGGTTTTTCCAAATACGACCTTATCTACACTTCCTATAACATTAAAACCTTTAAGCCTAAACCTGCTATTGTTCGTCTGCGTAATTTTGCGAGAATCGATACATCCATTTTAGGTAAAGATGTAACTGACTTCGATTGGTCATCTGTACTTTCTGCCTCTTCTGTTAATGACAAGGTGTCCATTTTCAACAAAGCCGTACTCAAAATCTTTGACAAACATGTTCCGGCCCACCTTGTTAAAGTAAAAAGGCAACCAGCTCCCTTGATAACTAGAGGAGTACGCATGGCAATGAGAAAGCGAGACCGTGCATTCGGAAGATAGATGTAGATGTAGATGTAGGTTGGACTCCATTTTCTGCAATTGGCCTCTCATTCGGGCCGTTGTGCGTGTAGAGCCAGGCTACTAACGTAGCCAGCCAAGCTCCTCCCTGAAGCGCAGAAATCTCCTGGTGTCTTCGCAGGCTTCTCGGAGCGACCTCACCGTTCCGAGGATTTGATTTCGTTGTGTGGTCACTGCTTCGCACTCCAGGATTACGTGAGCGGCCGTTTCCTCGGCTACAAAGCAGCCCCGGCATAGGGGACTGTCTGTAGCACCTATTTTGTACAAATGTCTGTTTAAGGGACAGTGGCCCGTCATTGTCCCTAATCATTGTTTTTATGTTATTTATTTATTTATTTATTTGATTTTAATTCGGATTACATCCATATTGTGTTAGTAAAAACTTATAAATGTTATGCCTGTCCAGATTTATTAAGCGTTTTGTCATTCTTTGATTTGTTCTAGGAATTGCCACTTTCGATTGTTTGCAATCGGTGGTTTGTTTCCATCTTTTGTTTTGTATCTCAGTGGATCTTTGGCGAATCCAGGATCGAAATTGTGAGAATGGTATTGGCAGAAACGGGGGGGGGGGGGGGGGGGGGGGCCTGGTATCGTCATGCCTGATCCTCTTCTTGCCAATTCGTCCGCGGCATCATTTCCATATGATCCGCTATGCCCTTTTATCCACTGGATGGTTACACCGTTGTGCTCTGCCACTTTGTCCATGATATTGTGACATTCGATTATTAATCTGTTGTTTGATTTCCTGTTCTGTAGTGCTTTTAGCACGGCTGCACTGTCCGATATAAATTTTATGTTGAAATTATTGACACCTAACTTTTGCACTGTTCGTGCTGCCTCAGTCAGGGCAACGCATTCACATTGGAAAATCGAACTATGTGGGCCGAGTGGTATGTATAAGTTCATGTTGAGGTCAAGGGAGTGTGCTCCTGCTCCTGGACCGTTATGTGTTTTGGAGCCATCTGTGTATATGCGTAGTTCATTTACAGCAGATTGAACTTGTTCCTCCTGAATCATTTGTATCTGGTATTTCCTGTTAAATGAGTGATATGTTTGAGTTCTGTCACACGGAGCTGCAATCAAAGGTTCGTGTTCGATTGCTTGGTTCAGGATGTGAGTGTGAGAACTATTATGGTTTTTGCCCCATAGACCAAGATGGTATAGTCTTATGGCAGCTATGGCTGCCTCCTGTTGTATGTACAAATCGAGGGGTGTTATATTGAGGGCTATTTCAATTGCTGTTGTTGGGGTAGTTTTCATACATCCCGTGATTGAAGAGCATGCAAGTCTTTGAAAGGACCTTAGTTTGTTGACTGTGGTCGTGAGTTTCGACCTTGTCCACCAAACCAAGGCCCCGTACACTAGCATTGGTCTTATCACTGCTGTGTATAGCCAGAGTGTTATTTTTGGTGTAATACCCCACTTGTTTCCTAGCATCTTTCGACATTGATAAAATGCTATGGTACTTTTGTTAATTTTGTGGTCAAGATGTTTGTTCCATAGGAGTTTACTGTCCAGTATAACTCCCAGGTACTTGACTTCTTCTTTTAGACTAAGGTCTGTGTTAAAGAGTTTCGGTGTCCTGAAGATACCAGGAGCTCTTTTGTTAGTAAACATGATTAGTTCTGTTTTGGAAGGATTTACCGAGAGTTCGTGGTTTTTACACCATCTCTCTACAGTTCTGAAGGCTTCTCTCATGCGGTCGCATAAAGTTCCCTCAAAGTTTCCTGTTATAAGTATAGCAATATCGTCAGCATACCCTACCGTGTAGAGGTCGTTGTCGTTGAGCTCCTCAATGAGTTCGTTAACAACTAGGTTCCAAAGAAGAGGTGATAGGACCCCTCCTTGTGGACATCCTCTGCTCACGATACCTCGTGTGGTAGTGTTTACGGTAAACTGAATTGCACGGTTCTTTAGCATGTTGCTTATCCATTCTATGATAGTTAAAGGTACTCCATGTATGGCGAGAGCCCGGTTTATGCTGGTAAAATTTGTTTTATCAAAGGCCCCTTCGATGTCTGTAAAGGCACCTAGTGTTGGCTGCTTTGAGTGTAACGAGTTACCAATTCAGGTTACTACGCTGTGGAGTGCTGATTCCGTTGATTTGCCTTCGCTGTAGGCATGTTGGTTAGGGTGGAGTAGTTTGTTTGTGGACACAAGGTCTCTGATTTCTTTGTCGCATAGTCTCTCCAGAGTTTTTAGTAAAAACGATGTGAGACTAATTGGTCGAAAGGATTTGGCCTGTGTATAATCACCTCTGCCTGGTTTTGGGATGAAGATTATTCAAATTCAAATTCAAATTCAAAATATCTTTATTCATGTAGGTCTATTACAGACTCTTATGATATGTCAAATCTACCGTCAGTTCGGAATGATTTCGAGATGAGAAGAACTGACAAGAAACTCAGCTCGTATTTATTTTAAAGTTGTACATATTTACAATAATACTATTTCATTTAAATTCAAATTTGGGAGAATAGAGTGACCACCAGCATATGCTATATAAAAAAAAAATCAAAAAAATCAAAAATCTAATCAGTGTTCGCAACCTGAACAGACCAGTCCCCACAAGCAGCACCCGTACACGAGTATGACGGATGAGCCAGCCATCATTGCACTCAACCATATTAGAGGGAGCACATCGACCCGGCCCACCACGCCGCCACAAGTTTGAACTTTATAGCGAGCATGACTGTTTCAAGTTACTCCACTACGTCATTTATATTATTTACAGCATAAACTGTACCAATCACAGTTTTCACCCATTACAATATTTAATTTACATTATTTAAATTTAATATGTCATTACTAAATTTAGGATAAGTTTCTTTAGTGTTTATTACATTATCTATGTCAATGAGAAAGTTATATACCTCATAACAAATGTTAAAATAATTAAGTTCAAAGTTAAAATAAGTAAGTAATTAAGTCCACGCATTGTAGTCATTCAAGTAGTCGTTTATTTTATAATAAGCTTTAGCGCAAAGTGTATTTTTTACATGTATCTTAAATTTCCCTTCATTTAAATTCAAAACATTATCGGGCAATTTATTATAAAAACGTATACAATGTCCCATGAAAGATGTACTTACTTTTTTGAGACGAAAACTAGGCATATTTAATTTATTTTTATTCCTTGTATTAAAACCGTGTAAGTGACTATTCTTTGTAAATAAATTTAAGTTTTTACGTACGTACATTATATTTTCATATATATATTGAGAGGGAACAGTAAGGATACCTGTTTCTTTAAAGCGTTCTCTAAGAGATTCGCGACACGGTAAATTATATATTGAACGAACTGCTCTTTTTTGTAATATAAAAATTGATTCTACATCAGCCGCCCTGCCCCACAATATAATACCATACGACATTATACTATGGAAGTAACTAAAATACACTAGCTTCGCTGTTGCAGTATCAGTTAACTGTCTAATTTTTCTGAAAGCAAAAGCAGCCGAGCTTAGTCTTTTGGCCAGTGTGAATATATGTGGTCCCCACTGCAATTTATTATCTATTACAATACCAAGAAAAAAGTCTCATCAACAAAGTCCAAAACATGACCATTCAAACTAACATTTGTCATTACTTGTTTTACATTTGGTAAAGAGAATTTAACACATTTTGTTTTCATTGAATTAAGCGCTAGATTATTTGATGTAAACCAGTTAAGAATATCTTCAAGAGCATTATTTATATTACTAAAATCCTTATTATTTCTTTTCACTTTGAAAATAAGTGATGTGTCATCAGCAAACAATACAATGTCAAGTATATTTTGAAACTGGTATGGTAAGTCGTTTATGTAAACAAGAAAAAGAAATGGGCCGAGGACAGAACCCTGGGGTACACCCATTTTTATATATGACCCCTTAGATTTGCTTCCTTTAATGTCTACTACTTGAATTCTATCGCACAGATATGATCCAATGAGTTCTAAGGACTTTTCTCTAATTCCGGAATGTTCTAGTTTAAGCAATAAAGTCCTATGGTCGACGCAATCAAACGCTTTTGAGAGATCACAGAAGACACCAATGGCATCCTGTGAATCTTCCCAGGCACCGAAAATACTTTGTACTAAGTTAATGCTTGCATCAGTGGTAGACCGTCCTCTCGTAAATCCAAATTGCTGTTTATGAAGTAAATCATGTGTATTAAAATGAGCTAACATTTGTGTAAGTAATATCTTTTCAAAAATCTTACTAAATACTGGTAAAATTGAGATAGGTCTAAAATTTGATATATTGTCTTTGTCACCGGATTTAAATAGAGGTATTATTTTACTCACTTTCATTAGATCTGGAAAGATACCTTGATCAATGCTCATATTAAATATTTCAGTTAAATGTGAAGCAACTTCGTTTATTACTCTAATTACCCCAGATATCAGTGCCCTTTAGATTGAGAGCGTTGAATGTTTTTATTATACAGGAGCAGCTGATATGGTGAGTCATAAACGCATGGACTTACAGTATTTTTTAATAATGTTTCTGCTAGACTAGGTGACGAGTTTAACCTTTCCGTAGCTTTGAGAGGTATTGTGGAAAAGAAATTATCAAAAGTTTGAGCAACAAGTTCGTTTTTATCAATAACGACGCCATTTTCTGCTTTTACCTCATATTCTTTCGCGACTTAGACTTACCTGTTTCCGTATTTATTATATTCCGGGTAGACACTTTATTGCACCAACATATAAAGGACATGAACAAATTAAAAACAAAAAAAAAACTAAGTACAAAAGGCGGTCTTATCGCTAATGCAATCTCTTACAGACAAACTTTGGAAAGAGAGTAGGTATTTACAAAAAAAAAAAAATAGAGTAGGTGGCGCATTAGTGGAAACATAAAAATTGTATACACTTATGTAAACAAAATAAAATATAGTACATACACAAATTTACATATATATACATACATACGAATACACAATAATATAATATAATAATCAAATAATTATACATAATCAAATATTACACATATAAA